CGATTAAAAAGAAACCACTGGAAAAAATGTATTTACCACGATATTTATATTCTAAAAACATGTAACTTCACATAGATAGATCATATCATTATTTGTTTTCCCATTTGTTTTTAGCCAAACGTGTAGCCCAGGTGTAGGCAACCTTCGGCACTCCATACGTTTTGGACTACACCTCCCATGATGCTTTGCCAGCATTGTGGGTGTAAGAGCACTACGGGGGATGTAGTCCACAACATCTGGAGTGCCGAAGGTTGCCTATGCCTGGTGTAGCCTCATGGAACCCAACTGGCTGTAATACAATGTGTATTTCTGTAGATCTTTTTCTGTAAGGGATAAAATGATTCCTAGCACCAACGTGGCAGGTTTTACAACCCAACTGTTTACAATGTAAATACTAAAAGTAGAACTAACACAATCTCTATTTAATCAGGAAACATAAATACACAAATACCATTTTGGGCAACGCATTTTATTATTTAATTTCAACATCAGAATTTTCGTATAAAAAGGCAGATTTTTTTTAGTCAGTCCTACTATAAAAATGGATTTCTTAAGCTAACAGCGGCTGCTAGAGAATTGGCTGAAATGTGTCTGTTTGTTGCTTTCTCGGGGTTGTTTTTCTAAGTGAGTGGTTTTGACAAATTCCTAAAGTTTAATTTCTAATTCTGCAAAGCAAACACATTTCATCATGAACTCAGAGAGGGGAGAAGGCGACCAAAAGCGAACCTTCACACACTGTAAGTACTGATGCACAGTGTCTCTCCAATTTGAATTTATTTGCTTTAAAACAGATACATTTATTTTTTCCGCTTTATCTTATAATCACTGTTTGCTAGATGACACTTTTACAAGTTACGTCTTAACTATTTAAATGTATATGGTATGTGTAAAGTCAGACACTCTCCCTCAGGAGTCATCTCAATCTGAATGTAGAGTTACTGAGGATATTTTACAGTCAAACAACACTCTAGGACAGATCGTTTTCTCTAACATTATGCTTTCTTCTTAACTCTCGGCTTCTTATATTGCTTCTCAGATCTGACATAAATTAATATAAAAAATATATATATTTACCATCATGAAGATAGGAAAAAAGGAATGGATGTTATACTTTGTAAACAGCTAAAACAAACAGATTAAAATTTAAATTTCAGAAGTATATGAATTAGTATTACATTAAAATCAAATTGATAAATTTACAGAATATATTATGCTTTATAAAAGGACCATTTTCATTCAATGACCTGTGTTCTGGGAAATAATTTTCAAATAGATAAAGAATTATACTTAAATTACAAATGAAGTGCGTTAACCACGTGGGTGCCACACAATGATTAAATAAAGGATGGATTAAAAGAACGTGTTTGAAAGATACAAATAAACGATGGTAAATATGAAAACTGTAGAAGACGGACTTTGGGAAAACAGGTTAATATTTATTATTATTACTGGGATAATTGTATCCCCATCAATTATAAAGCCTTTAAACGGCTTACACTAATTCCTCTTTAAACCTAAAATGATCATCTGGTATTTCGGTACTGGATTGATCTTAACATGTTAATGCAACATGTTTCCTTTGGAATGGCCCAAGTGAGCTAAAAACCTTGGATCTAGGATATTTCTGTGTGGATATCATCCTACAGGGCACGTTATTATATATGGTTTGTTCTCTGTGATTTTTCTCAGATTTATTGTAGTGTGTTGTGCAAAAAATGTATAATTTATTTATACCATACTAGCATAAATATGAAAAAAATCACAGAGAAAATATATATATGTACACACACACAAACACATCCATGTAGTACATACACCACAAAGACAGAAAAATCATAATTAAGAACTAGATGGAATTTAGAATTTTATTTTCCCTTTAATGTTATTTCAAAAATCAAATAAATCATTTGAGACAAGAAATACAAAAGAAAAGTAGAAATATAAAAACAATAAAACCAGTAGAATTTTTTTTAGTTTAAGATCACATTAAATATAATAAAATATAGAACATTTCTTGTTGAACGACACATCATCAAGTATGGCATGGAATATAAAGAATTTTGCATATGGGTTAGAAACATAGAAAACCAGGTAATGTATCTATCTGGTGCTAATAAAATTTAGAGTATATGTTTTCAATATTTCTAGTAGTACATTTGAAAAGATACTGCAAATTTATACCTTCTAATTAATAATATTAAATATTAGAAATACTACATTTACTGTGTCACGTCTTTCAGTTCATTTAAAATAATCTATTTAATGAGTTTACCTATAGCTGCGTGTGGCAAGTCCTATCTAGAGGAACATTCAGAGTTTTGTGGGTAATTGACATGGGAAATTTCAGAGAATTGACATGGGAAATTAAAATTTCAAAACAAAACCAAATGGGACAAATTTGAGGCTATTTTGTCTTAGAATTTGCAATTTCCAAAATTCTCAATTTGGTGAATAACTGTCGCATGTTCACTTTCACCAAATTAGATTTTATTTTTTTTTTAAGAGAAAGAGCTACTTGTCAGATGCTACACACTCTCAAAGCATTCTGCAGATAGCTGTGTCCGCTAAAACATATTTCACGTGTGTGTATATAAGCAGGATGCATTGCTATCTTAACACCATATTTAAAATAGTGTCGAAGAGTAATACACAAGTAAAAATATAAAAAATTATATATTTACTGTAACACAATAATTAGTGCAATAACCATCCCAGTTTTATAGTTTTGTTGGATTCAATTTTATTAAATAATCTGTGTAATTGATGCCCAGTGATTTTACCAGGACATGAGATCATTGACAGCTCCTGGTAAATTACGGATTAAGTCCTGCTTTTTACAGCACAGGCCCAAGTGCCTGGTGTAATAAAAGATGGCTCTGCCCAGCAACTCCTCTCTAAAAGGAACACTTCCCAAATACAACAGCTTATTACTCCAGTTACCAATATATTACGTTGTATTCTACTCCCCAGAGCTTTACAATATTACACCTATTTACAGATGTGATGGTAGGATGAATTAAACGGTGTTCTAAAAATCTGAGTGATGAAGACATGATAGACACACATTGTGAAACCAATGGATGTAGAGTTCAGCACTCAAGTGGTTAAGCTGTAAAAGGAGTTGTACCAGAAATGAAATGCTGGATTTGTCCAGGAGATGGCACTACAATCACTAGGCTCTGAAAGAGCAGCAAATTATTAACTTTTTCCTCCTGTCATTATATAATGCTGTTTATTAAACATGAATCTTTATTGACTTAATCTGATGTGAATAGACCACATGAGGCGAAGCTTAAAGTTGCAAAGTAAGTCTGTAATGAGGGCCATTGCTAAAATATGTGTTAGTAGTTTACATGTATATATTACAAAATGATTTAACAAAACATGCAATAAATAAAAATATTCACAAATTCTGGGCCTTTTAAAAGATTAACTAAATAAAATAAAAAAATATATATATATGTGTAAATAAAAAGAAAATTAAAGTACTCACCATAAACCGACCACCTTTGTGTACAGTGCATTGTGTCAGGGTAAGCACTGGAAGTCACCTACGGATGACATGTGGGTGACCAGCTTTGCCGTTGCCATGGTGCTACATAATGTGTCTGTAAATAAATATAAAAGTGGAAAGTTAATGATTTTGCATACAATACACTTTTGCATACATGTTAATATATATATATATATATATATATATATATAATAAATAAAATAAACGGTATATTAACAGAAATTAATAATTAAATAAAATTAATAATTCTGTTTCAGACCTGTTTTTATTGAGAAAAAGGTTTGCAACACTGCAATACAATGCAAAACAAATGTACATAGGACAGTTTCACCAAGTAACATAACTTCAGTCAAGTCTTCTTAAATTCAAATCCCATGTACAAATCCAGACTCTCACTTTAAGATTGCATTCACCTAAGTAGGTGACTGAGTGAAATGAACGTGGGTTATGTCACAGCATTCTGCCCCTAAAGGACGCAAAGAATGCGTGGGCTTTTGATATTTTTACTGGAAGCAACAACGCATTTTTACATTTGCTAGCCACTTGGCGAGAGTAACTTATACATCATTTTTGTAGGAGTTGTATATCATGACAAAGTTAGTTTTATTTGAAAATGAAGACTTTGTTCCACTTGCTGAAATGACTTAGAATGTCCGTCCCATGCTGGAATTAAGAAAGAATGACGGCCTTTATAGCCTGAACAGTCTTCACCTGCGATGTTTTAGTGTCAGTCGGTTTATTCAAAGAATTTCTTTATTTCGATACAAAACAATATTACACTATATATTTTTGTTTCTCTTTCTATACTAGTTATAAAAAGGTAAGTGAGGATTTAAGGTCACAGTGCACTTGCATTCGATGTTGGAAAGCACTTTATTATAAATATGTTTGGGAATATTTTTACATTGTGATTATCACAAACACTGAGTGTGAAACTTCAAAGCACGGCACAGCTTTACTGAATAGTACCAGGTAACCGTGCAACCTTTAAAATAACGTTATAGGAGATCTGCTCCTTTTTGTTTTTTCTTATGGGTTGTACAAATAATTTTTAATTTCTTATTTACAATGATTACCAGACTGCTGCGGCACAGATAGAACATACAATTACTATTATTATAATTTAGTAGAGATGTGAGCAATACGGAAAGAATGGTTGGTCGTGTAAGTAGTCATACAACATCCACCAAGGAACACGGACACTGTGTCTCTCAGAGGTGCTGCAGAGGTAAGTTTGTCCGATACTCACACAATACTCCTCAACTTAATAAATGCACCAATAACATTTACCGGGGTGAGATAATGAGGACCTGTCAGTTTTAGAGAAGTAATGGTTTCTCTTTAAAACAAATACATGTGGTCTTTTGGCAAAAATACACAAAAACAAATACAGCATGTGTAATGGTCCTTCTTATACCCTTAATCCATGAGCAACAGGCTGTGAAGATCCCACAGATGGTACCAAACCTTTTATTTAATATTTATTTTATCTTTAATTTCCATCACTTTGATTGGTTGGCAACTCACAAACGGCGCTGTTTATCAGCCAATCATCATTAAGCGTCTATGTTTGGGGGCCAACTCAGGTTTGCAGGTTTTTTTTTTTCCATAGTACAGTTACTTGCCAACTTTAGACAGACAATTTAAAATGTGTATTTAAAGCTGACTTTCCTTCTAAGGTTGTTTGAGAAGTAAGATTCAGGTGAAGAGACCATTTACCGATGAGTTATATTTCAGATTATTAATACAAATTATTGATCATAAATAATAATGAATATAAAAGGGAGAAAGGAATTAAACCTTTTTATTTGTTTCCTTTTGCAAATAAATATTCTTGCACAAAAAATGTAAGCTATCAAAAAAATAAAAAGGAGGCCCAAAAATAAAAAAATAAAATAAAATAAATTTTCTAGTATTAATAAAAAAAAAAAAAAAAAAACTTTGATGGAAGAAATGGTTAAATTTCAATAAACATAGAAACAGTTGAAACAAAGAATATGTGGGTCCAAGAAACCTACTTCAAAACTTTGAATAAAATGATATGCCAGCTATAGAAATATCATTAAAGGGACACATCCACATACCCATCCCGGGAGTATTTATTAAATAGGGACTTCAGCCAAAAAAAAGTGGGATTCCCAATTCCTGGCAAATAATGTTGAAGCGGATATATTATTCAGATATTTATTTTTTCTTATTTGGTTTATGTTCCAGTTCATAATATTAAGATATTGCTTCAAGCAAAATTGGAATGTTTCTTGTAAATCCTAACACGAGACATTTGATTTCTGACTTTTTGCCTTGGTTATAAGATTGCTGTTTTTTCTCTTCTCTGCAAAAAAACCCTGTTTATTTTGCTAACTTATTTCCAGCTATAAGCATTCACTAAACTCAAAATTGCAGAAACATAAAAACTTAATAGACAAAACTGAAACTAAAATAGTCAAACTGTGACTCTAGCCAAGTTGAATTTTTCAGAATTCCAGCAATTTTTTTCTCGTTTAGTATATAAAACCCTATAATTCACTGTGATATGGATCATATCGTATTGTGTCCGGTATAACATTTTTATATTTTTTTGTTTTAAAGTTTGAAGGTGAAAATGGAATCTATCAGTAGAATATATATTTTACTACCTGCAGCCATACAGTTCCCTAAGAAACTGGTGCGAGGATGCTTCGATACAGGACTATGCTGATTTATGTACCTAATTAATCCATACCTCCAAACAAGAGGGACACTTTCATTTTAGGGGTGTGAGTAGGGTATAACCAAGGGCAGAGCTGCTCTGATAAATATTAGGTGACTTACTAATAATTCATGGAACTAAAATGTAATTTAATAGAAAAATGTATCTTATTTCCACAGACTGATTTCTAAACACATTTATTGTAGTTTAAATACACATTACTGGGGGTATTATTGCGGTGGAGCTCTGTGATACACCCAGATACACCAACAATATGGAGTTCCAAGAAAAGAGGGACAGAGGGATTTTGATTTCCCAAGATATGGACTGTCCCTCCTAAAGGGGGATACTTGGGAGGTATGAAATTCTGTTGCCGTTGTCAGATCTGTGCATTAACAGCATCTTCCAGACCCCAGTATATAGTGGATACACCACCAATACATTGTTTCACTATAGAAACCAAGGTGAAAACGTGTGCCACTACACCTGTATCGCTTTGGGAACACAACATTTTCACCCCAGTGAAAATGCACAAGGAGCACACTGGCCCTTCATATCTGGGCAAGGTCATGAGCGCCTGTAGTCTGAAGGGCAGTAGGATGTATTTAAACGATTAAGGATCTTGAAAATAATAATAAATTGAGCATACCGCAAAGCTTGTGATTTTCCATAACAGAACAAATGTTTTGGTGGTATGATGTTTATGTAGGAGATGTATTTAGCATCATGTATGTTCTCATTTGGAGCCAGCAAGGTGATCTATAAGAATAGGGACTGTGAAGGAGGAAGTTCTTGGTGGTTATTCCACTTTGGTCAAATTCCAGTTATTCTGTTTATACATTACATTAACCTCTTTAATAATGAAAAGTGAATAATGTATTGTTTTTAGGTTGCATCATGTTACATTGTCTCTACTACCAGATCTCCACACCTCCTTGCGTGTTGCTTTCATTTCCCCCTCTAACATTTCTCTTCACAAAATCATCCCTCCCCTTCTCTAGTCACATTTTCGGACAGGAACATGGTACAACGCATTTCCTCTGCTGCTCCCTCCAGACAGTGGCGTTCTGTCACCGAGTGCAATGTGAGGACATTAAGTCAAGTTTCCGTCTCCTCCATTTACGCAGAACATCCTGCGGAATGTGAGAGTCCATGGTCGCACACATACTCGATATATTGCAGGAGCTATACTAGAATCCATAATAGAGATGTATAAATCCCATGTGGTTTCCTCTCCCTCAGCCCCTCCATTCATGCGTTTCACCCCCTCCACCATGTACCTCATTCTCCCAGCCTCCCCATGTCTCTCATTCCCACAGTCCTCACGTGTCTATCATTCCCGCTGGTCCTCCCGTGTCTCTCATTCCCCACCTTGTCCGTCCCTATATGTGTCTTGCCCCCTTCCCACCTGTGTCAGCTCACCGCCCTCTTGCAGCGTGGCCAAGCCATGGACCGCAGTGGAGGATGTTCAGTATCCTCTCCCCGGTCGGAAGGGAAGCAGTTCGGTGCTCTCAGTGAGCACTTCCTGACTGCAGCAGCCAGTCATGCAGTGACTGGCAATAGTGGAACACTGTGCAGTGTGCTCTCCCCCTGCCGGTCACCAAGAGACTGCGCCCTCCAGGCCGGTGTGCCCTAAAGTGGCTGTCTCTGCTGCCTTGAGGTAGCGGCGGCCCTGGTTGTTGCTAAAATTTAAGCAGAAATTGATTTATTTTTTGCTCCATACTGACAGGCTAATGGAGCCAATGGGAACGTTATAAGCTCACGATCCCTCCTGGAAGTATACATAAGTACTCATTTGTCATGCATTGTTATGGACATATACAGAGTAAGCCTTAATTATATGTCTTCATTAAGTACATAAATTGGTACTAAAACGGCCGTTAATGCAGTAACAATACAATGCAGCATAGTGTTTACTAGTCATTAGGATTTAAAACTGCTAAAAAAATAACTAAGAAAGCAAATATCTATAAAGCACCAACATTCTCGGTGATATTATTTGACAGTCTGTAACTGAAAGAGATAAATTGGGCTTTATATAACCAAGTGTACCCTGGGTAAGAGTAGAGTACAAGGGTTTCAGATGAACAGAGTCAGGTTCACCAGCAGAGAATGTAGGTTGAAGTTTCTGACTAAGGTCAGGGTCGTAAGGGTAAAAAATTGTGTGTCAAAGATCACAGTGACCAGCACAGATGCAAGGTACAGGTTACAGAGCAATTGTCAAATAAATAAGTGAAATAAAGATTACATCAGTGGAACATTAGAGCACAGGCAACACTTGCTAGACATGGGGACATCAAGTAGAATGGACAGGATGACAGCTGGATGCGGGACAGTGTGACACGGACACTGTGACAGTAGGGCTGCAAATAATGACAGCTGGACACTAATGCTGGACATGATGATGACTAGCGTGATGCCACCAACTAATATGGACATTATTTTTTTTTTACATTTTATATATTTTATTGCTAAAAATGGGAACATGGAGTAACATTGTAAAAAGGTTGGGCCGTCTAATGTCTGGTGCTTTCTAGATCGGCAGTGTACATGGTTATATCAAAACAGCAAAGAATATTTTATCTGAGAACGTAGGAGACTTTTCTTGTTTTTTTTGTGTTAACAGTTTAGAACAAGAAAACACGGTTGTTTTAACAACTATAGTCATTATTTCAGCAGTGTAAACCACACTTTGCTCTTTGCTTTATCTATAGAACATTTGGCCAAAATGATACCTGGTCCCCGATATCAAGGTGTGGAAAAAAGCATGACATCTCCCTTCACTTCTCCTCCAAATGTGTATACTACACTACAGGGTTCCTTTAGCTGTATGGAGATGTGAAGGAGCACATATTAAATGGTTTACGCTCCTAGAAAAGAGGCACATCGTGTTTTCAAAGAGGGATAGAACGTTTGATTCCCAAGTGGGACCTTTACTCTTACTTTGGATCAATCATGTTGACAAAAGGAAAACAAATAAACGATGAAAGGATATAAATGTTTCTCATGTATGTCATTGGAAGACAATATTCAAATATATTCCCATGACATTTCAATTCCTTTGAAATTTATATATATTTTGCAAATAAGGCAAATCCAAAGATTCTGGTGGTTATGGTGCTAGGTTTGCCCCTTTAAAAACAACATATGAACAACATAGAAAATTCAATATATTAAAGGACCACTAAAGTCTCCCAATGAATCTCAATGAAGTGTCTTGGGTGTAGAGGTCCTGTAGGTTTAACTCTACACTATAAAACATTGCAGTTTTGGAATGTTTACATTGTGAGGTTGAACACACCTCCAGTCGCTGTCATTCTGACGGCCACTAGAGGTGCTTCCTACTGCAGTAATGAAGCAAATTACCGTCACGTCATTGTAGACCCTTTTAGGCAAACACTGATTCATTGCTTTTCTATGGGGGAAGCTGGCTCCACACACAACATGCGCATCAGGTCCACATTCAATGAGGAGCATTGGATTGGACTGACTCAGGAGGAGGCCACGCCTCCTCTATGATGTAATAGTAGGCAGAGCCTCGTCGCTGGAAACAAGGCAAGTAAAAAGCTTTTTACAATTATTTTATGCTGAACTGGGGAACTGTCTAGTTAGGGACAGGGACACTAAGGTGTTAGGAATGCAGGTTTATGTTTATTTATGTTGTAAAAGGTTTTGTTGCGAAATGAACTACATTTTCTTTTATATGTTCTTTCAGGATTAAAAGGGTTAAATTAATTTGCCTTTTCCACTGGGTTGGACTGACTGTTGCTTTAAATTACCTCCCCAATGTCATATCGAGGGAGAGCAGAGTTATGCCAAGGAAAGAGTTTAAAGGTCAATAATGTGTCACTTGTATTTTAACGAAGCATTGAATACTGCCATGTGTTGTGATTCATACTCACCAGAACCTTTCTAGTGCAAGGCTTTATAATTATCCCCATGTGTCCTATTTCTGGCACTTGCTAAAAGTCCAGAGTTGTCCAAAGCCCCTGAAAATTCCCACGAGAGATG